TATGCATTACACATCTTATGGAATTTAGGTTTTCTCATTTTTAATTAAAGTATACTTAAAAATAATATCTTAAATTAACTCTATCAATGATTTTTGTTTTATAAATTTTTTAGGGACTTAATTGAAGTCTTTATATTTTTATAGTGGCTTTAGTTGCAATTTTTGTGTAAGGGGTATTTTAGGAAATTAATTTTTCTGTAAATATTCTATAAGTGAATAGTTCTGGTAGAATGAAATTCTCCTTTGATTTAAGTTCCAATATCATATATATAATTTAAAAAAAAAAAAAAACGCAGGAGGATTGGAGGTCCTGGACCCCAAGGCCTCCGTGGCTCCACCCCTCTATCCAAACGTGATTAGCATTTTCAGGTTAGCAATTGATCTTTCAAGTACTCAGTTTTCGAGAAACATTATACTATGGATTGGACGAGCAATACAAGTGGAGTATTGCAAGAATACTCTATATAAAACATCACATACGTGAATGCGAATTTAGCTGGCCTTATAAGAATTTTACTTAGATAAATTATCTAACACATTTGTAGAATCCAAAGAGTTTAGGTCAAAATAATTAACACAAAACGAAAATTAAGTTTGATATGAGAAATAATGTATTGGATTTATTATCTAGGCTTGCATTAACGATTGACAGTTCAAAACATTACACTTACTGATTAGCCACTGAGTCTAATATGATTTATTAAGAAATGTTCAAAGCGAAAGCTACATGTCATGATGTTTTATCTTTCTAGTAGTGCTCCTTTTCCCTTGTTCTAAATTTTTCTCATTCATATAAAGGATTATTGGAATTTAATGGTTTTTAATAAATATGATTTAATGATTTTAATAGATGTGAATTGAAAAAATTTTCATTGGGATTAGGCACGACTTTTCAAATACAATACGTAATATTGAAGAGTCGTGATTTTTTTTTTAAATTGAGTGCAACTATTTAAAAATGTGCACAATCAATTGTCGTGAACCCTTGTATAGCATGCAATCTAGAAGGTAGGGTCATATTCCAATATTAAATAGTGTGATCTAATAATCCAAATTAATTTATGCAAAAAGGTGCACCTATTATATTAAGAAAAGACATATTGAATCTATAAATTGAACTTATTCAGTTCCATATTCTTGATCCTAAATCAATTCAAGTAAATGAATTTCTAAATAATTTCTTTTTCGAATTAAGTTAAAACATTTTTTAAATTATTTTCAAGTTTTAATATTCAATATCATCCAATTTACAAGAGTGCGGTAAGTTTTAATTCGTCCTACAAAATTAATATATGTGATATATAAATTTTGAAAAAAAAGTGTTTTATTTTGGGATATAGGTGTCTGTTTCATCCTGTTTGTGCTTGTGTAAGGTGAAATATATCTTAATGATATTTGCAATCAAATACCTGCTTAATTTTTCATTCTAATATTTGCATTTTATATAAGTCTTCATTTTGTTCATTTTCATGTACGTATCTTGGTTTCGATAAGTTGAACTTTTATTCGATAATTTGTATCATGATTTGATCGTATTTGCTTGTACGCATAATTAACACAATATAAATTAGGCACTAATTTTACAAACAATAACTAGATTAATTATCTTCACTCCCATGAGAATCTTGAAGTATACTTATGATTTTGACCCACAAAAGGAATCGCCTGTTGTGCCGATTTGGATTGGTTTACCCAATTTGCCACTGGTGTTCTATGATAAGGTAATACTGTACTTAATAGCTTCTGTATTGGGGACTCCACTAAAAATCGATGAACAAACTGCAAAGAAAACAAGAATGAATCTGGCTAGAATTTGTGTGGAATTGAATGTCAATGCCCTGAAATTGGATAGAATTAGAATTGGGAATGAGATGTTTGCAGTATGGCAGAAGATTGTGTATGAAGAGGTACCACCATATTGTTCCTTTTGTAAGCATGTGGGACATGATATTGGAAACTGCTATTGGAAGAAAAATACGGGTATCAATGTTAAAGAAAAACAGCATGAAGTAGTGCCAAGAGAAGTACAAAATAAGGACAAGGGGAAGGGGAAGGAGGAATGGATTATTGTACAAAAGGGGGGGTAAAACGCCCATACAATCTAAAATACAGGGAGGAGATTGTTCTAAAATAAATAGCTATGAAGAAGGGGAAATTGTCACTGAAGTGATGAAGAGTAAGGAGGGCATTCAGAAGGAAAATGGTGAGGAAATCAGTAATGAAGAGCTCAAAGGTGAAACTGATCCCATTATAGCTAATGAGAACCAGATTGAGCACAGAAAATCTGGATACTATGACTGTCTGCAAGATTGTGAAGAAGAACAGGTTGGTGTGGAAATTATAAAAGAATTTCCAATGAAGGAGGTTAACAGGAAAACCGAGAATAGCAATTTAGTCATAAGCTTCACCGATTTAGATGAAGAGAGGCCCAACAAGATCAGACATAATCGCAGCTGCAGTGAGTTGAACAAACAGAATTCTCTTGAAATATTGCAAGGAGAGGAGGTAGAGGAAGAAGCAGAGGATGAGAATTTCTCAGTTGAGATAAAAAGTGCAGATGAAAAGGAGCTCAAGGACAGCCATAAGAAAGCCAAAGTAATAAGAAGAGAAGGGAGAGACCATCTAAATGGTAATCATGCAGTACAATATATTAATTTGGAACCTGAGAGGAATTTTCAATTCCATGAAGAGACTCAAAAAGTTGATCCATACTCAACATATTTCTATTTTTCTCATTTTAGAACCATTGGTTGATAAAAGTCAAATTCAAGATTACTGTAGTAAGCTGAGCTTTGATAATTATTATGCTAATTTGAATGGTAAAATTTGGGGATTTTGGAAAGGAGAAATGGAAGGCCATATTATTTAAGACAAGGAGCAGCTTCTTACTATCAAAATCAAAAGACATAACAAAGATAATTACATCACCGGGGTGTATGCTAAGTGCTCTGTAGCACTTAGGAGAAATTTATGGAATGAGCTAACATTGTTTTTTGAGAATCTGGACTCTCCTTGGATTATTGGAGGTGATTTTAACTCTATTTTAAACAGAAAGAAAAGGATGGAGGGAACTCTCCAAATAGAAGGTCAATGGAGGATTTCAGTAATATGCTTATTAACTGTGGGGTGGATGAACACATTGTTAGAGGGAGCAAGTACACTTGGACTAATTGCAGGATTTGGGAGAAGTTAGACAGAATTTTGATTAACGCTCAGTGGTTAAATGAATTCAATGGGTTCGAAGCTGAAATGTTAAACGGGGATACATCAAACTATTGCCCCCTCTTGATGTCTCAACAAATCAATGTGAAGACCTCATTCAGATTCCAAGCTATGTGGTGCCAAAATGATGACATGCTGGACACAATAAAAAGATGCTGGGAGACTCCACTTAGCCCTTATTCTAGAGGATTATTTGGATTTTATTTCAAGTTGAAAAGACTCAAGAATACTCTAAAAAAGTGAAATAGAGATAATTTTGGTAATATTTTTGCTGATATTACGAAAGCTGAGGAAGAGGCTCTCAAGAAAGAACTCTTATATGACAGATCTAAATCCCCAAATGAAAGAATGGAAGTTAATGAAGCATATGCTAAGCTCAATCGTTTACTCTCTAAGGAGGAAGCATTTTGGAAACAAAAGGCTGGGATTAAGTGGCTAACTGAAGGAGACAAAAATTCTAAGTTTTTTCATGCTTGGGTTAGGAAAAAGTGGGCTAAGAACAACATTAACTCGATTTACAGCAACGGGATTGAACTGAAAGAGCCTAGGGAAATACAAAGTTCTGCTGTAGAATATTTTGAAAGGATCTTAACCAGAGAGCCTACTGGAGGTTGTGATCGAATTCTGGACAATATTCCACAACTGGTAACTCAGTCTGATAATGATATACTTAACAGGGCACCAGACATTGAAGAAATTAAAGAGGCGGTTTACATCATTAATAAGGATAGTGCAGCTAGCCCTGATGGTTTCTCTAGTCTATTCTATCAGTATAGTTGGGACATTATCAAGTTGGACCTGCTTGATGCGATACTAGATTTCTTTAATGGTAGGGAAATTCCTACTGGTATCACCTTAACCTCCATTGCCCTTATTCCTAAAAAGGCTGAAGCTAAGGAGTACAAAGAATTCAGGCCAATTAGTTTGTGTAATGTGGTCAATAAAATCCTAACTAAGGTTCTTTCCTCTAGACTCAATAAAATCTTGCCTAATTATCTCAACATCCTAAAGCGGTTTTACCCCAGGAAGGAATATAGGAGACAATATCCTACTGGCTCAGGAACTTATTCAAAATATTGACAGGAAGACTAGAGGTGGCAACATGGTTTTAAAACTAGATATGGCTAAGGCTTATGGGAATTCCTTTATAAGGTGATGGAGAAATTTGGATTTAGCCAATTATGGACTGATAAAATCAGAAGGAGCATTAATAATTGCAGCTTCTCTATTTTGATCAATGGTGAGCTTAATGGCTATTTTAAATCCACTAGAGGGCTGAGACAAAGAGACCCCATTTCCCCCTCTCTCTCTATCATCCTGGCTGAATGCTTGTCTAGGGGGTTGAATAACCTTTTCTCAAGTAATGTAGACCTTCATTTTAGATATGGAGGAGGGATCCCAATATCACATCTGGCATTTGCAGATGACATTGTCATTTTTACCAATGGCCAAAAAACTTCATTGAATAAAATTATGAGGTTCATCAGTCTTTACACTGTTAATTCTGGGCAGGCAATCAACTGTAATAAAAGCTCGTTTACCACTAGAAAGGAAGCTCACAGAAAAGTCATTGCAGATAATACGGGATTTCAATACCAGTCCTTGCCAATGATATATCTTGGAGTTCCTCTATATAAAGGGCATAAGAAGGCTGCCTTATTTGATGATTTAATCAGTAAAATCAAACGTAGAATTTTGGGTTGGGAACATAGATGGTTTTCTGCAAGTGGTAGGATTACACTTATTAAACACGTGCTGAGCTCCATGCCTATTCATTTGCTTCAAATCCTTGATCCTCTAATAGGCATTATCAACAAAATTTCAAGAATGTTCAACAACTTCATCTGGGGTGATTCTAGCCAGACCAAGAAAATACGTTGGGCTTCCTGGGAAAATATCTGTTGTCCCGTTGAAGAAGGGGGAATTGGATGTCAATCTCTCTCTGACCTGAATATAGCATTTGACTGTAAACTTTGGTGGAAGTTTAGGGAGCAAAAATCACTTTGGAGTCAGGTCTTGCTAGCCAAATGCTGTAGGACCAGTCATGCTAGTGTTGTGAATCACAGCTATCAAGATTCTGGGATTTGGAGAAGGATGGTTAAAGCCAGAAAATTAACTGAACCTCATATTGCTTGGAGAATCGGAGAAGGTAAAATTAACTTTAAGCACGATGTTTGGCTTAAGTCTGGGATTGTTCAAGGGAGATTGAAACAGGATATGCCTCAAGATAAGCTTGTTTTGGATTTCAGAAACAACAATGAATGGAATACTATCTCACTGAATTCTATTCTACCTGCTTAAGTGGTTAATGAAATAGTGAAGATCCCGGTCACCAAGATACCTGATAAGATGTTCTGGATACATAATTCTTCTGGGAAATTTTCCATCTCCTCTTGTATTAAACTTTTCAGGCAGGGTAAATCAGAACAATTGGCTTATAAACATATTTGGGATAAAAGCATTCCTCAAAAAATTAGTTTTTTAGGTTGGAGGCTTTGGCATAATTGGTTACCTGTTGATGACATTATTCAGAAAAAATTTGTCATCCATTTAGCATCCAAATGTCAGTGTTGCAGCAGTTCAGAAATTATCAACCATGTATTCTTGGAGGGTCGAATTGCAAAGGAGGTTTGGTCGCATTTTTACAGGGCTATGAATGTTCAAGAAATTAGAGGTAATCATCCCAGAACTATACTAATGCACTAGTTTCTACAGAAGAAAGCAAATCCGGGTGAGATTAGAAATGCTGTTCCACTGGTTGTCATCTGGTTTCTCTGGTTGGCTAGAAATAATGCGAAGCATAAACACTATGCAATAAGGGCTGACAGGATTATTAAGCAAGTTTATATCCTGATCTATGCACTAATAAGGGCAGACATGATCCAACAGATTGGGAGAATCAGGTACAAAATACCCACAGCAGTCAAGTGGATTAAACCTGATACATGTTGGTATAAACTTAATACGGATGGGGCTATGAAGGATGATTCCCAGACTGCAGGAGGGGGAATACTGAGGAATAACTTGGGAAATCTAATTTGGGGATTTTATGATTATTATGGAGAAGGCTCTATATTAGAAGCTGAACTTAGAGCTATGGAAACTGGGTTGAAGATGTGCTGGTCACAGGGAATCTGGAAAATATGGGTAGAGTCTGATTCTAAGACGGCAATTACTTTGATTAAACAAAACAATGGTCCATGGGGAGTCCAATACACACTGCAATCCATTAGATGGCTGTTGGAGAAGATAGAAAACAACCTTACTCATACTTGGAGGGAAGGCAACCAAGCTGCCGACTGGTTAGCATCTAAAGGCTATGATGATAGGAAGTTGTTCAAAGTAATTGAAGCTAACGAGTTCATGGGGAGAATCAAAGGCATTGTGAGGCTAGACATAATTGGTATGGAGACTTTTAGATTAGTAGCTTAGCGTGGTTTTGCATATTGTATTTTAGCATAGCTGCATGTGATGTAACTCATTAGTAGTATTGTAGAGATGATGTACTTGTGGAGGTAAGGTTCATTTGTCCCCCTCTTTGCATTGTAATTTGATTTTTCATGAATAAAATCATATCCTACGGTTTGGATTTTCAAGCTAGGATATTTTACCAAAAAAAAAAAAAAACTAGATTAATTATCTTTTACAAGGAAAGAAATGCAAGAATCCAAAATTATCTCTCATTCTTGTGGTTTTTTTTTTTTTTTCTTCATGAAAATATCGATTGTAAACCATCCTAAAAACTAGACTAGTCGTATAAATATTTTCTTGAGGAAAAAAGAAATGAAATGAAAAATTGATCTCAATATGTATTGAAAAAAATGTCTAGACTAGTTAGCTATGTATGCTTATAATCAAGAATGTCATGTACCTTGACCTGTTGAGACACATCTCGTGATTCACCTCCTCAACAATGCTCAGGGGCGGGTTTATAATCAAGAATGTGATCACGTCTTGAAAATTGCTAACAAAGGTAAGCGTATCAAAGTTTCAAGGACCATACTGTGTGTACAGGGCCACAAGGTCTCCCCCCTATAACAACTTGACACCTATCCTCATAATTGTATAAGGCCTGTGATCCTGTAAAAGTAGAATAATCCTAGTTTCAATCACTTAATCAGTTCTGCACTTATAAAATAGGTCATGTAGGACGCGTCCAAGTGCATGGTAATGAAGGACATGACATTTAGCCCCCATTTAGTTTAGTTAAAAAATTATTAAAATTCAAATCCAAATCAACAATTAATTTTAATCATGTATTTTATACGATTCCACAATTTTTCAACCACACATTCCATCAAATTTTATTAAAATCTACTAAAATTTTAATTGTTGTTTATATCAAGCAAACATCAATCAGACTAAATTTCTCTAATCGTAAGACTAAATGATAAGTCATATAACAACAAAACAAGGAACAATCTTCCTCTTGCCAATAAGACCTTTTTGACCAAGTGAATGTTGCATTATTCTATTGGATATAACTTCTAAACTAATAGCATATGTGAGCAGTGGCGGATCCAAAATTTTGATTGAGCACATGCGGTCATTGACAACCGCAATAATAACCAATGTCGTGAACTGAAATTACTTATGTTGTAGTTCAAATTGTAAGTGTGGGTGTACTTTATCTACCATTCTAATAATGTTTAACGAGTAACAATTTGAAATTTGAAAAACGGGTTCAATTATTTACATTTTTATTTTGATTTGCTAATAATTTCAGTCTAACAGAAAAAATGACTATTTTAATAATCTCATCGTAAGTTCGAATCTTAGTTTAAAAAATTTAAAAACAAAGGGGGAATATACCTATTACTTTATAAAAGATCATATAGAATTTTGTTACACTAAATGTCGACATCCACCAAATGCTATAGTGGTCAAGTGTTTAATAATTTCAAAGGTGATCACAGGTTTGAATCTTCCAATTGCATTGGTTTTTATAATGCCCATATAATGGAAAATATTAAATTAAAATAATTTTAAAAGGGATTGCTAAAGGCTCCCATTTACATAGATGGTATCTAACCAGCTGAACTATCATAGCATTATGTGAATAAAAGGAAATTACAGTTATATACCCAAATAAATAAATGCATTACCCAAAAAAAAAATTTGAATGCCGGCGAATCCAGTACGGGCAGCCGTCGGAGCTCGCCCGGTGTTGGATTCGCCGCTATATGTGAGCTTAAAATTCTAATTGGATTAGGTAAGTGTCGATTTCTTGAAAATTAGAGAGTGAGTAGAATGACTATTTTATAACAAATTAACCTATTAGATTAGATATTTGTCTTCTGAAATCTATAAAAGCTCAATTAAGTGCACATAAGCAAAGTTTAGGGTCATGGTGACGCATTTTCTAAGATTAAATTGCTTATCGATAAGGATTCTTAATTTTGTTCAGCCTCCATCACCATCACCATCATCATGATTGAAATTAGATAATTTTTATTTTATCTTAATTCTAATTAACTATTTTAATCCAACTAAAATTCATAATATTAGTTAAATCATTAGAAATCTTATTAAATTATCAAATATTTAAGATTTATGTGTATTATGAAAAACTATATATTTCCATTTGAATCCGAATGCCTTCTCATCAACCAAAGGAAAAATGATAAAAGTTAACAGAATACATCTAAAACTATTTTACTCAACTCCGTGGAGCATATTTGGTAAATTGCACACGAGGTCCCTTAATATTGCAGATAATACACTTAGGTTCCCAATCTTTTTTGAACGATCATATCCCCAAACTTTAAGAAATTAGTGGACATACTGAACTGACAGAATTGCCATTAAATATTTTTTTAAAATCTATATAAGGATATATTCACTAGTTACATTTTGAAATTGCTTGTTCAATTTTGAATTGAATAAGGAAAAAATATTAATTGGCATCCTTGTAGAGTGAAATCTCGATAAATTAATGTTTGATAAATTAAAAATCTCGTTTAAATAATAAAATGTTTCGATCAACGAAGATATAAAATAATAACTGCTTAAATTCGTAAGACTTATTGGAGGGTCTCATTGGTATGCATCTAGCAGGAATTGAACCTACAGAGTTCATACTAATACAAATTAATAAACTTTTAATTCGACAACGTTTTTCCAAATCGCCTCTTTTTTCCAAAAATGCATCTAAAATCTTTTACTTTTTCTTTGCACCAAAACCAAAATTAACTTCATTCTTAATTTTTTGTCATGCACATACTAAATTTGGCATTAATGTTCTCTTTGATCTATGCATGTATGTGTGTATTTTTGTGCGCTTACAGATTAAATTTTGAGTTTCACCACATTTAATTTTTTAAATTTCCTACTTATATTATGAAGTTATAAAAATATAAAATACTCTATAAATTAATAAATATTTATTTATAGATAAATTAATAACTCCTAAAATAATAATTTTTCTCGATATTAATATTATTATTTTATAGAGGTTCTACTTTATATTCTGACATAGATGAAGGTGGTGTCATCGTTCGCGAAGCTTCAAATGATTTTTTATTTGTTCAAACTCAAATAAGGGTGTATTGGAGCGCAATTTTGTGAAAGAGTGGGATTTTTCAATAGTGAATTTTTTAATAATGTGTAGTTAAAATGTATGAAAAAATTTAAATTTACGTGTAATATTATTTTATTAAAATAATATGTAATTGAAAATGAATTTTAAAAAAATTAAATTTTATACCACTAGGGTCAAACATGAGCTTCGAGAGAATGGAACATCCGACTAAAACAAAAAGAAGGTACAGTCGTTCACACTAACTTTCCCAATAAATATTCTAATATACTCATAGCCACCAATTATGAATATCTTATTTTTTTTCCCCAATCATTTTCCACAGGCAATACATGTATGCATAATGCATTGACCAAAATTATATCGTCTATGAAATATGTGGAGACAAAATTGACCCCAAGAAAATTGTTTTCTATGGGTTGGAAATGGATAATTGTTCATCGGGTACCACTCAAAAACTATTAAATTTGGACCAAACCGATCCTTCCGGTCACAAAACCAACTATCCTGTTTGATAGGGATTTAAAAAATCAGATTTTAATTTAAATTAAAGTTAACAATTAATTTTAGTCACATATTTCATAAAATCCACAAATTTTCAATCACATTTTTATCTAAATTCACTAAAAATTTGATTTTAATCCACTGTATATCTTTTTCTTAGTCCCTGTTTGAGTCTCAATATCTAAAAAATCATTTTTTTTTAAAACTTAAAGCCTATTTGATTCTCATTAATTGAGAAAAAAAAAAAATTAAGTTTTGAATAGTATTTTTAGAAGAATATATGGTTAAAAAGTTGGAAAAATTTTAGTATACATGTAGTATTATGTTATTGTGTGATTGAAAATAATCTTATAATGAACCATAAAATGAATTAATGTGTGTCAAACATGCACTTATTTTCAACGACAAATTCTCATAAAATAGTGATGAGATTCATGATATGTGGACAAGTTCGGACAATGATCCATTGATTGTTGAGAAAAGGGTCTATTATTATGTCGTGAGCAAAGCCGGTCAATAAGCAATGGGACTACTTACTCAAGTCACGGTGGACGAAGCAGTGATCACGACAAGCAAATGGAGAAATTTCATGTTGGGCATGTGAGTTGAAACGAAGTGGAGCAACTTAATTCAAACAATGGACGGAGGTGACGGAAGGAACAACTATGCGACCGCATAGCTACTTTACCGAAACCCTAGTGGAGGGTTTCAATTGATTTATATATGCGTCGCATAGTATAAATCCGACTGTGAATTTTCTAAATTTCGCATAATCTTATATTTTAATTAAAATTCTTGTATAGTATATTTTTTATATCTTTTGAGACTTAATTCCTTTTTTAAGTATGTTTTATGTGTTCCATATAAATAGGACTCATTCCATTCATTGTAAAAACACATAATTTGTGAGATATTATTGTAAGGCATATTGCTTTCCTCTCGTTCTTCATTAAATTAATTTTGAATTTATCAAGATTATTTCTTGTGCCTACGTGGGTTCGCATCAATTGCGTATACATCAATTGAAACCCTCCACTAGGTTTCAGTAAAGGGACAACCACCACATGCCCTGAACACTATGCGGTCGCATAGTTGTTCCTTTTGTTTCCTTAGTCCATTGTTTGAATCAAGTTGCTCAACTTCGTTTCAACTCACATGCCTAACATGAAATTAGTCCATTTGCTTGTCGTGATCAATGTTTCGTTCACCATGGCTTGAGCAAGTAGTCTCATTGCTTCTTTGACCCGCTTCGCTCGCGACCTAGTCGTAGGTCTTTCCTCAACAATCAATGGATCCTTGCCCGAACGCGTCCTCGTATCATAGATCACATCAAATAATGTACATGTTTTTTTTAAAAATCACTATTATAAAACCTATTTTTTGTGAAAAATGGTGCTCAAATTGGGGCTCAATATGGAACCGAATTGCAAATATCGACGTTGAATTTCCAGTCAAACCTGCAATCTTATCGTAAATAACTCCACAAGTTACCAAAACCCGGATTCCAGGTATCCTTTATTATAACATATTTGGGATTCAAAATCTTAGGAATCCACAAACTTGAACCTGCTATCGACTTCGTTAGTTTCTCTCTGAAGCCCTTAAAAATTAAGCAAAGGATGAAGCCTCTTCTTTTACTTGGGTGATAAATCCAAAGGTAAAAACAATCAAATGCAGTCTAGTGAAATCTGTATGTATAAACAATGCATAAGCCATTGAGATTTTGATGAAGGACTACAGTGATGAACAAAAGTTTGTTGTTTTTAGTCATAGTGATACTACATTGGTATGTTGGGAAAAATAATGTCATGTGGGCCTACATAAGTAATTAATTGTGTATAAAGGTCATCTTAAAGTTAAATTCATTTATAGTGATCTAATAATGATCTAAAGTTATTGGGGTTTAGGCATCTAAATAAAATGTGTGCCTAAAGGGAAATTATAAAAAATCAGGTGTTTAAAGATTTCTTTTTAAAAATCAGGTGCAAAGTTTATTTATTCAAAATTCAGGCAATATATTAAAACTCTAGCCCCAATCCCAAACAAAACCTAAATCATTTTTCTTGTATTCCTCCTCCTCTTCGATTCTCATCTCTCTCTTCCTTGCCGCCGTCGCTCTAATCCCATCTGTACCTCCCAATAGAAATTTTGTGTTTGTACAGTGCATCTGCTATTTAAACCCTCCATCTCTCTTCAAATCTCCCAAAAGCTCTCTCTCTGAAAATAATTGAAAACAATATTGAAAATTTTCTTAAGAGAATGAAGAGTTTGATACGGAGGCTAGCAAGAGTGGCAGATTCTTCACAGTGTTATCTTTTGCTATCGGAGTCGAGAACGAGACGCCGGAGGTATGCGTCTTTGCAGAAGAACAGCAGTGTACCGGAGGGACACTTGCCGGTGTATGTAGGCGAGGAAATGGAACGCTTTGTTGTGAGTGCCGAGCTTTTGAATCATCCGATTTTTGTAAAGCTTCTGAATATATTGCATATTGCACTAACAAGTGCATCAAGCACCAGTTCAGTCACCTTAAACTCCGATTTCTTCAAAACCCACATGGCAAAACCAATTAAACTCTCACTTGGAATGTATGGTGTTTCAAGCACCATAATTACAAAATCTTCATTCAAAATCAAACCCATTTTATCGAAGTCCTCCTCTAGAGACCCATCAGCGATAGCACTGCTCTGAAGCAATGACAATAAACTTTGCACCTTTTCCATATCATTCTCCATTTTTTCAATTTTATCATCGTCCATTGTAAAAGAATCAAACCTTTCGTCCATAGGAACAGAACTCTCTTCAATTTCAGCAGCCAAACTATCATTTAACTCTAAGCCATCCGCATCTTCAATGAAAATCGAAGACCCAACTTCCAATTCCGCCGAGATGGAGCTCATGAGAATCAATGTGCTGTTGTGGCGGTGGCGACGAGGTGAGGGTGGTCGAAAGTGGCCATAGTGGTAGTGACGGTAGTCTGTGACCAAATGTTTGGTAATCTGTGACCAATTACTCAACTGTGACCTAAAAATTTAATAATATGTGACTCAAAAATAATTTGTGACCAACTAATTTAAAAATCTGTGACCTCGAAATAATCTGTGACGTACAAATTTTTTGATCTATGACCTCGAAACAATATGTGATCTATTAATTTTAAAATATGTGACATGTGACCTATAATTACTTTGAAAATATGTGACTGTGTGACATATAAATTTTGATATTGACCTCTAATTATGTATATGTGACTATTAATTACATAATTTTAGTCTTATTATATTTAATTAATAAATATTTTTAATTAATTAATTAAAACCTAATTTTTGTATTAGTAAAACTTAAAACCTGATTTTTGAATTGTGTATAGTTAATCACTGACTTTTGAATTCTTCCCGTGCCTAAATATGTGTACAGATTGGATCCATTTGGGTTATATTTCATGAGGTGCCAAAATAATTACAAAAATACATAAATAGAATTATGATCCCCAATTTATATTGATTCTCAATCTTTGCGCAATCCCATCAACATAAGAAAAATTAAGAGAAAGTATATTGAAAAGAAGATTAAGAACCGCAATCAATAATTAAGAATGAAGAAGAAGGAATTGAAGCAATCAAGATTAAAGAGCAAGAAATTAAAATTTAAAAGATTGCAAGTTGATCTTCAAGAGTCAAAACGATGGATCAAGGTATGTTCCGTATTAATTAATCTTTTTTGTAATTTGACATAGAGATCTTGGCAATGTGTAAGGCTTTATAAAGTTTGGTTGATTATTAAATTTTTAACAAGTGGTATCAAAGTCAATATATATTAAACCATTGAAAATAAAGAAAGATTTCTTTTATTGGAATTCAAACTTTGGATTTCTAAATTTTTGGATGAGAATTTCAAAATTTTGGATTTTTTGAGAATTTTTGGGAAAATCATCGGGATCACCATAACGCGCATTTGGGCGCTGTGTCTTGGAAAATTGAGGTAGTGCGATAGTGCCTGAGACTAGTTTCCCAATGCCAAGCGCTACAGCACTCGACTGATGCTGGGTGTAGTCAGAAGGTGCTGCCTGGACAGCGCTGCAGCACCCATTTCTGTCAAGTTTTATCTTTTATTTTTTTGGTCAAAATAAAAGATCAGGAATTAACATTAAATTTCAAATTTTGGTACTAAAGTTTCTTTTGGTTATCTAATGTTCTAAATTGATTAGTAGAAACAACATATTAGGAAGATAACCTCTCTTGCTTAAATTAATGTATTTGGGACATCAAAATGGTTGTGTTTATAATTCATTCGAATATGGATCGGCCCAAAAGAATGTGAATATTCAGTCGAATTACATTCACTCCTATAGTAATAAATATGTGACAATTATAAAGTTTCTTTTTATGTGAACAATAAATCGATCAAACAATAGTTTTAGTGTTTGATATAGTTTATTGTCAATATTTGATTACTACACCAAGAATACCACTTAAAAGTTGACATTTTTATCCAAAAACTAAATACCATTATTTAAATTAATTTATTATTTAATATGGATTCTCCTGTGAACATATTTCTTTAATTTTGTTCTCTATTCAGTTAATTATGCTGCTTTTGCAATATCTGCTAATATCAACTCAGTTCATGTTCTCAATGGAACCAACTTTAAGGATTGAAAAGACAATGTTCGGATCGTTCTTGGACTGCATGGACTTAGACCTTACGTTAAGGACCGAACAACCCACTACACTTATGGATAAAATTTTCGCTAATGAAAAAAGGGATTTGATATGTGTGATTTTTCAAATCGCATGAGTCTTATGAGCATGAAACGTGAAATTCCAGAATCATGCAGGGGTACTGTGTCCGATAAGGTAACTACTGCCAAGAAATTTCTTAATGAAATTTAAAAACACTTTGCGAAAAGCGATAAGACCAAAACTGGTACACTTTTTGCAAACTTAGTTTCACTAAAATATAAGGGTAAGAAATAAATTTGGGAGTACATCATAGAGATGTCTCATATTGTTTCAAAACTAAAAATACTAAAGATTGAGACATCTGATGATTTGCTCAAGCATTTGGTTTTAGTTTCTCTTCCTGCACAATTTAATTAATTTAAGGCCAGTTACAACTATCAAAAGGAGAAGTTGACTTTTAAGGAATTGATTTCATATTATGTACAAGAAGAAAAAAGGTTGAAGTAAGACAAAACTGAAAGTGCTCACTTGATTAGTACTTCTAAGGAAAAGTTCAAGAAAAGAAAAAAATAAGGAAGCTGCATCCAGTTCAGCTTAAAACAAATGACAAAAGCCAAAAAAGAATTAAACATCTCATTGTTACTTTTGTGAAATTTGGGACACTTAAAGAGGGATTATATCAAATATCAAGCTTGGCGTGCAAGAATTTGGAACACTTAAAGAGGGATTGTATCAAATATCAAGCTTGGCGTGTAAGAAAGGTACGTTTCTTACCTTGATTTGTCCTGACGTTAATTTAGTTTTAGTAATTAGACATACTTGGTGGATTGATTTCAGTGTCCCTACTAATATAAGTGTGTCTTTCATCGTTGCTTGAATAGTCGAAAGTTAAATGATCCTGAAAGATTCATTTATGTGAGCGGCGATAAATCCGCTAAAGTTGAGGTTATAGGGACTTTTATATTATTATTAAAGACGGGTTATTATTTGGATTTGAAAAAGACTTTTGTTGTAATATCTTTTAAACGGAATTTGATTTCTATTTCTGTATTGGAAAATTCGGTTATTCTTGTTCATTTGAAAATAATAAATGTAGTTATTTTCTTAATTTAAATCTTGTGGTTGCGGTTCTTTATTTGGATATGATCATCTATACTTCCTTAATCTGGTTGCCTCATATAATGAAACCTGGCATGTAAATTCATAAGGTATTAAACATAAATTAACAAATGAGAATCCTACTTTGCTATGTCACAAGCGATTAGGTTACTTCTCTCAAAAAGAGAATGAAAAATCTTGTGTCAGGAAGAATTTTTGATTCCCTTAATTTTTCTAGACTTGAGTGTTTATGTAAGTTGTAATAAGGGAAAACAAACAAACATAAGGAGATTAGGTGCCATAGGACTTCGGAGGTCTTGGAACTAATTCATACAGATATCTGTAGACCATTTCCTTCAGCTTCTTGGAATGG